CGATTCTATGTATGTTGAGTTATATAAAATGGAAACTTTTAAAAAAATGAGATATGTTTTGTTAATTAAGATTTGAACGGGCGCACACAAAGAGTTGACACTTCACCCGTTATTATATCGAAAGCGTTAGTGTCTTCTTTAAATGTGCTACATTTGTAACAAATTTTCATGAATAACAGAGGTTTACAAAATTATGAGCCCAATTTAATTTCTAACCGCTCTTGACTTTTTAATATCAGAATAATAAACAAAGTACCCCAGCTCTTTGCACGGGTTTTTAAAAAAAAAACTTTATAATTTTCTCAAAGTTGCGACTCAGTAGAGAAGGACGACTGTTTGTGTCTTCTGGTCTCAGTAGTGAAGGACGACTGTTGTGTCTTCTGGTCTCAGTAGAGAAGGACAACTGTTTGTGACATCTGGTCTCAGTAGAGAAGGACGACTGTTTGGGACATCTGGTCTCAGTAGAGAAGGACGACTGTTTGGGACATCTGTGTTGAGAATTCTCACTTTTTTTGGGATAGTCAGCTCCTTTGACACTCACATTTTTCTTTAATCACACAAATGCTGACCTCCTAGTCTTTTTAATTCTAGCCTTTTACAGCCGTTTTGGATTCCTCACTTAAGTCAATGGTGCCACCCAAGTATGTGAACGCCTCCACTTCTTCCAGTGCATTTCCTAACAGAGAGATGAGCTCTTGGTTGGCAGAGTTTACCTTTATGCTATTTGTCTTGCTTTTATTTATCCATTGAAAAACTAAGATTCATCGACACCCACGATTTTACCCCACACCCCGATGAAAATGATAAACAATTTTGGTGACGAGAGATACACTCACTAGAGGCGTAGTTATGATTTAGTGCCAGCATGGGGGCCACATATTTTTGCCGCCCCACCTTCACGATAAAAAGTGTGCAGTTTTCCCAAAATGTTGCACCTCCATATGAATAAAAAGTGACACGTGGGTGAACAACCTCATCCTCTCTCCTTCTACGCCACTGGAGTTTTTGGCGTCACGGGACATGATTCATTTTAACTCCCCCTTTCAACTCTGAAACTAATTATTTTCAACCATTAAATACCACCAATGCACATTTTGGCTCCCCCCCCCCGCTAGTAGGGCGTCCTAAGACGTATGTCCCACCTGCCACTGGCACTGCTCACGCACTCCAAAAATCTGAAATGCCGCCCCCTCCCCCCAGGGGAAAATATCTGAAAGAAATAGTGATCCCTTGGCGTCAAACTGTGATTGGTCTTTAACCCTACGTGACAACAATGAAGAAGGGGAGCTAGTTTCGATTATTATCAAATGTTTACTCGCTGTGGTGAAACACCTGTTCATCTCATCTCTTATTACTGAGAGATTCGTAGTGCTAGTGGATCTATACGATTAATAATACGTCGTTATTTTAACAATCTACAGAGTTATTTTACCATTCTACAGAGTTATTTTACCATTCTACATAGTTATTTTACCAATCTACTAGTTATTTTATCAATCTACAGAGTTGTTTTACCAATTTGCAGAGTTGTTTTACCAATCTACTAAGATGTTTTACCAATCTACTGAGTTATTTTACCAATCTGGTGAGTTATTGTACCAATCTACTGAGTAATTTTACCATTCTACTAGTTATTTTACCAATCGATAGAGTTATGTTACCAATCTACAGAGTTGTTTTACCAATTTACAGAGTTGTTTTACCAATCTACTAAGATGTTTGACAAATCTACTGAGATATATCAATCTGGGGAGTTATTTTAACAATCTACAGAGTTGTTTTACCAAATTGATGAATAGGTTTAACAATCTACTGAGTTGTTTTACCAAATTCATGAATAGGTTTAACAATCTACTGAGTTGTTTTACCAAATTCATGAATAGGTTTAACAATCTACTGAGTTGTTTTACCAAATTGATGAATAGGTTTAACAATCTACTGAGTTGTTTTACCAAATTGATGAATAGGTTTAACAATCTACTGAGTTGTTTTACCAAAATGATGAATAGGTTTAACAATCTACTGAGTTGTTTTACCAAATTGATGAATAGGTTTAACAATCTACTGAGTTGTTTTACCAAATTGATGAATAGGTTTAACAATCTACTGAGTTGTTTTACCAAATTCATGAATAGGTTTAACAATCTACTGAGTTGTTTTACCAAATTGATGAATAGGTTTAACAATCTACTGAGTTGTTTTACCAAATTGATGAATAGGTTTAACAATCTACTGAGTTGTTTTACCAAATTGATGAATAGGTTTAACAATCTACTGAGTTGTTTTACCAAATTGATGAATAGGTTTAACAATCTACTGAGTTGTTTTACCAAATTGATGAATAGGTTTAACAATCTACTGAGTTGTTTTACCAAATTGATGAATAGGTTTAACAATCTACTGAGTTGTTTTACCAAATTGATGAATAGGTTTAACAATCTACTGAGTTGTTTTACCAAATTGATGAATAGGTTTAACAATCTACTGAGTTGTTTTACCAAATTGATGAATAGGTTTAACAATCTACTGAGTTGTTTTACCAAATTGATGAATAGGTTTAACAATCTACTGAGTTGTTTTACCAAATTGATGAATAGGTTTAACAATCTACTGAGTTGTTTTACCAAATTGATGAATAGGTTTAACAATCTACTGAGTTGTTTTACCAAATTGATGAATAGGTTTAACAATCTACTGAGTTGTTTTACCAAATTGATGAATAGGTTTAACAATCTACTGAGTTGTTTTACCAAATTGATGAATAGGTTTAACAATCTACTGAGTTGTTTTACCAAATTGATGAATAGGTTTAACAATCTACTGAGTTGTTTTACCAAATTGATGAATAGGTTTAACAATCTACTGAGTTGTTTTACCAAATTGATGAATAGGTTTAACAATCTACTGAGTTGTTTTACCAAATTGATGAATAGGTTTAACAATCTACTGAGTTGTTTTACCAAATTGATGAATAGGTTTAACAATCTACTGAGTTGTTTTACCAAATTGATGAATAGGTTTAACAATCTACTGAGTTGTTTTACCAAATTGATGAATAGGTTTAACAATCTACTGAGTTGTTTTACCAAATTGATGAATAGGTTTAACAATCTACTGAGTTGTTTTACCAAATTGATGAATAGGTTTAACAATCTACTGAGTTGTTTTACCAAATTGATGAATAGGTTTAACAATCTACTGAGTTGTTTTACCAAAATGATGAATAGGTTTAACAATCTACTGAAATGTTTTACCAAATTCATGAATAGGTTTAACAATCTACTGAGTTGTTTTACCAAATTGATGAATAGGTTTAACAATCTACTGAGTTGTTTTACCAAATTGATGAATAGGTTTAACAATCTACTGAGTTGTTTTACCAATTTGATGAATAGGTTTAACAATCTACTGAGTTGTTTTACCAAATTGATGAATAGGTTTAACAATCTACTGAGTTGTTTTACCAAATTGATGAATAGGTTTAACAATCTACAGAGTTGTTTTACCAAAATGATGAATAGGTTTAACAATCTACTGAGTTGTTTTACCAAATTGATGAATAGGTTTAACAATCTACTGAGTTGTTTTACCAAAATGATGAATAGGTTTAACAATCTACTGAGTTGTTTTACCAAAATGATGAATAGGTTTAACAATCTACAGAGTTGTTTTACCAAAATGATGAATAGGTTTAACAATCTACTGAGTTGTTTTACCAAAATGATGAATAGGTTTAACAATCTACTGAGTTGTTTTACCAAATTGATGAATAGGTTTAACAATCTACTGAGTTGTTTTACCAAAATGATGAATAGGTTTAACAATCTACTGAGTTGTTTTACCAAATTGATGAATAGGTTTAACAATCTACTGAGTTGTTTTACCAAATTGATGAATAGGTTTAACAATCTACTGAGTTGTTTTACCAAAATGATGAATAGGTTTAACAATCTACTGAGTTGTTTTACCAAATTGATGAATAGGTTTAACAATCTACTGAGTTGTTTTACCAAAATGATGAATAGGTTTAACAATCTACAGAGTTGTTTTACCAAATTGATGAATAGGTTTAACAATCTACTGAGTTGTTTTACCAAAATGATGAATAGGTTTAACAATCTACTGAGTTGTTTTACCAAATTGATGAATAGGTTTAACAATCTACTGAGTTGTTTTACCAAATTGATGAATAGGTTTAACAATCTACAGAGTTGTTTTACCAAATTGATGAATAGGTTTAACAATCTACTGAGTTGTTTTACCAAAATGATGAATAGGTTTAACAATCTACTGAGTTGTTTTACCAAATTCATGAATAGGTTTAACAATCTACAGAGTTGTTTTACCAAATTGATGAATAGGTTTAACAATCTACAGAGTTGTTTTACCAAATTCATGAATAGGTTTAACAATCTACAGAGTTGTTTTACCAAATTGATGAATAGGTTTAACAATCTACTGAGTTGTTTTACCAAATTCATGAATAGGTTTAACAATCTACAGAGTTGTTTTACCAAATTGATGAATAGGTTTAACAATCTACAGAGTTGTTTTACCAAATTCATGAATAGGTTTAACAATCTACTGAGTTGTTTTACCAAAATGATGAATAGGTTTAACAATCTACTGAGTTGTTTTACCAAATTGATGAATAGGTTTAACAATCTACTGAGTTGTTTTACCAAAATGATGAATAGGTTTAACAATCTACTGAGTTGTTTTACATTACAATCTACCACAAAGTTCTCAATCTTTCTAATGCCGCGACCCTTTAATACATTACCTCATGTTGTGGCGACCCCCAACTACAAAATTATTTCAGTTAATACTTTACAACTGGGGAGTATATGTGTTTTCCGATGCTCTTAGGTGACCCCTGTGAAAGTTCATCTACGTTGATCTACTTTGTTGATTTACAATCTACTGAGTAATTTTACCAATCTACTGAGTTGTTTTACCAATCTACTGAGTTGTTTTACCAATCTACTGTGTTGTTTTACCAATCTACTGAGTTGTTTTACCAATCTACTGAGTTCTTTTACCAATCTAATGATTCCTTTTTACCAATCCACTGAGTTGTTTTACCAATCTACCGAGATGTTTTCCCAACTTAATGAGTTGTTTTACCAATCTACTGAGTTGTTTTACCAATCTAATGAGTTGTTTTACCAATCTTCTGAGTTGTTTTAATTATCTTCTGAGTTGTTTTACCAATCTACTGAGTTGTTTCACAATATACTGAGTTACTTCTCCAAATCAAAATTTGTTGTTTCACCAATATAAAAAGTTTATCCACCAATCTATAGAAAATTGTTCACGAATCTGCTGTTTTGTTTAGATCACAATTTGTTTTCCCCAATAAACTTAAGTGGCCGAGGTTTAACATGGCAATGCTTAACTGTTGACTTGAGTTTAACATATTCAACATTGTAAATGAGTTTGACATAATCAAGGGTTCTCAAGTAACTAGAGTTAAACCAAGGCAGTCCTGGATGTTAAAAGTTAACAATTTGTGTAGTCTGATCAAACATAAGAAAACAGAATGTTGACAACAGGAACTCATTAGAAATGTACTATTATGTTGCGAAGCTATCTGATGCTGTCTGACGTAAGGTGTTCTCAATTGAGTCATGTACTAAACCATGTCACACTTTACGCAATGTTCAAAGCATTTTATTTGCCCTCTGGCAAGGGGGGGGGGGGGGAATAACGGCCAAGCGCTGGTCAACCATTGTTAACCGGTGACTTGTGACGTCATCCCATTCAATGTCCTTATTTCGAACCGTTACAGATCTGTTGACATCTAACAACACGTCACTAACATGTACATCCTGTGACGGACATGCTACCAACACCTTTCAGTAGGCACGCCCAGATGCCTCTGATCGGAACACTATATTTACACCCAGGACAGCGTAGATTGCACTCACACTCTGGTTTACACCCAGGACAGCGTAGATTACACTCACACTCTGGTTTTCTCCCGGACAACGTGGATACCACTCTGACACTAGGATTTACAACCGCCTTGATCACGTGACTTCATACAAAGCACCGCAATGTCTTCAGCTCTATTCTATGTTCTGACTTGTCTCCTGGGAGCAGTAATGGTGAGCTGGCATTCAATGTAAAGATGTTAGTTTTTTTGAGAGCGATAAAAATGATAAAAACTTCAAGGGTAAACTAATTCTAAAAATAGAATTATTCGAGCCAGCTCTTAGATGAAGTGTATTAAAAAAGAACATTTCATTATGTAATTTATTGATATCTAAAGCTTTGATATTGCATACATTACACTTGAGACAGTTTATAATTGACACATTTATGTATGTGATACGGGCGATTATTTATGAGGCATTTATGTAAGTGGAATTTATATAGGCGATATTTATATATGATATGTTTAATTAAAGGAGATATTTGTAATGAAATAATTAGCTTAGTAGCCCTGCGAAGTGGGGCTACAGCTTATGTCGTAAGTAAATTCATTACACTATAAAGCCTACTACGTCACCATTGATTATTTTGTCTATATATATAAACAGTTCGGCCATACAAGAGATATGGAAGCATATGGAATGACTGGTGGAACAGAATGTTAGTGAACTGAAAAGGTTATGTCCCTTCATTAAAAAAGAATGCAGCCTATGGACGTGCCACAATGAACGTTGTGCTAATATATCAACCAAAGTCTACAATTATCTATTTAAGTTTATGAAACTTAATTTAAGTTTGGAAATAATATAAACTTCAACATGTCTTTAACTGTTTAAAGAGGCAATTTTTGATCTAGGACACGTTTAAAAACAATTTTCCCATGATCTGTTCCAGGCTGTCCCTGGAAACTTCTGTAGATCATCAGCCCAATGTGGACGTAACGAATGTTGTGCTACTAGTTTACTGATTGCTAGCAAGAGAGCGGACTCCTTCAAGTCTGCTGTTCCCGTGGATGACTCTGCAAGGGTGTTTGGTGAGCTAATTCGAAGGATGATACATAGAACAGCTGTCTTGTGCTGTTTTCCTGTCATAGAACAGATGTCTTGTGTTGTTGCTGTTGTCCTGTCATAGAATAGATGTCTTGTGCCGCAGGTGTTATCCTTTCATGGAACAGATGTCTTGTGCTTTTGATGATGTCCTGTCATAGAATAGATGTCCTGTGCTGTTGCCGCTGTCTTGTCTGCTTCTATGGCAAGGCGAGTGGGGCACCAAGAGGAATGTGGCATTACGGGTAAAGGGGCATCACTGGGCCGTGTAGTGTGCAGGCTATATCTCAAATCTTGTCTAGTTTCTTGACAAGATTGTGTCAACTATAAGCTTCTGGACCTGCAATAATCTTAGTAATTCCGTTTTGCAAATATCTATATTAATGCCTTTTAAGACTTATGGTGATCTATTTTTGTGAGAATTAACATTTTAAGACCACCCAGATCACGAATATTGTCTAAACTACGAATTAGTTCGTATATTTTATGCATTTTAGAATTTAGTTTGAATTTTTAATTTTAGAAAAAAATTATTTTAGATAAAATTCATAAAATAGTTCCTTTATTGTTACTTGTATCGTATTTGTAACTCATAATAATAATACTGAAACGTTCAATAAAATAGAAGAGGATCAATTTTAATTTTTGCGCATTTAAATTTATTGTATTTCCGCATATTAATAGAAATTAACTATCATTGTTTTTAAGAATCAAAACGTCTTTAAATAATTTCGTCTCTTTGACGTTACGGTCAGCCTAGCTCATTCTTAATTATATAAATGTTAGGTGTTGCAAATATCTATATTAATGCTATTAAAAGACTAATGGTGATCTATATTTCTTGGAATTGACTTGGAGTTGCAGCATCCTGACTGTGTTCAGTGTGTCAATTATTGAGTTGCCTATACAGACTCTCTACTTTAAGAATTCCTAGATAATAAATATTATCTGAACAACATATTTGTCCGTAAATTTTAATTAGCCTAGAATTTATTTTAAATTTTTAAATTTAGAATTTAAGAAAGTTTATATTGAATATTTTATAAGTGGCTATTTGGAGAAAATAAATATATTAACTTCTTAGCCATATAATTAAACATATGAATGCTTCCACACAGAGAAAACAGATTATTGATCGTGTATAATTTTTTTTTAAATCCTCCTAAATCATCGTCCAGGTGGCACATGTCAAACTTACCTGTCTGAAGGTGCACGGTGCTCCTCTCTAACCAACGGGTGCGGGTGTGGTGCAGGACTCGTCTGCCAACAGAACAGCAACATTATGTCCAGACAAGCGGGTGACCAGGCTAGGATTGTCGCCCCTGACACAGGAAAAGGCATTTTCTATACGTGCACTCGTCAGCGATTCTACCAAGGATAGACCTGTGGTCCACCCCTCGTGTGATGTTGACATTGACCTCTTGGCCATCCCTCGCGTGGTGTTGACTTCATCACAATCCTACCTCTCATACAATTTATTCATTTATTGTATCTAACATTTACTCTGTCTCATAGACTCATTCACACACAAACTCACGCCCTCACAGACTCGCCCTTTCACAGACTCAATCCTTCACCCCTTTAAGCTTCTGGCGTATTCATTCTATCTCTATTTGTCTTTTGTTTCGATTTCTCCCATCAATGCTATACCAAAACTGTAGAGAAATAAAATTTGAAAGAAAATCAATGCATCATGTCGACTGCAAAGTTCTTTTAACTTAGTCAATCGAAATAAATAATTTGAAATAAATTCAAGATAATTAAAGTAAAGAAAGGTGCAAACTCCACGTTACCAAACTCAAATAATTCACGTGGTATGTCTGGAACAAGCACTAAGAGAGACAAACGATGTAATCGCTTTGTATTTAAAGAATACAAAGTTTGTACTCCTTTAAAATTAAAGAAACTCTACCACAGATAGTATATTACAGATATTCCACTAGAGATTTCCTAACATCGACAGTATGTGTCACATTGAGCAATAGCGTCAGTGGATCATCGAGCGCGATCGCTTAATACCCCCCCCCAGCACAACTCCACACGAGCCAGACAACGGGTTTTCCCGCTGCCAGACCGTGCGGAGGCACGCTGGCAACCTCTCCCCTGGCCTGGGGGACGTCCGGTCGACCGAAAACGCTGCGTTTAAAGCGTTCGCGGTCCACTCCCCCTGGGTCTGGGCGGGTTTGCTTCTACTCCGGAAGTAAGGTGTTGCGTTACCAACCCCGCCCGCCCAGGGAGTATTTCGTTCGGGACGAAAGCTGAGACGAAACGGACGCCTAGGAGAGGCCTTTTCATGGCCGCCTAGCTAAAATCTGCGGCATGGGTTTTAATATCGACAGTATAAAAAAGGGTTACCGAAAATTTGATCGAAAGAAATTTCGTCGACGGAAGATTGATCGAAAGTATTTTGATCGAACTGAAATTTGGTTGAATCTTTTTTTCAGTTCACACGTTAAAATTTTTGTCAAATTTCTTTTTGAACGCATTATATTAAATAGTAAAACAAAAAAATGTGTTCAAAAAGAAATTTAAAGCAAAATTTTAACGTAAAAACTGAAAAAGTAAAATTCCACGAAATTTCCGTTCTATCAAATTACAGTCGACGAAATTTCTTTCGAACAAATTTCCGGATACGATAAAAAGACGTTAAACTAAAGACAGTCTAGAACAGAAACCCTACAATCGACAGTATGCTTAAGACAGTCAATAACAGACAGTGTAATGAAGACTAAGGGACCCGGGTTCGAATAGCGACTATGCGTGTCCGGGTCGGCTTAGACTAAATGCTATTCGGATGTCATTTGTGGTCGTTTATTTTAGTTAAGAAGTTTATTGTTTTTTTTTAATAAACCCAAACTCTCACTTCTGATACTCGGGTCAAAATGGTCGCAGCCTTCCCTCTGTTGACAGAAAATACATTTAAGATGGTGCAGAGGTATTTTGTTTCAAATTTAAGATTACCTTTTCCCAATTCTTTTAGGAGAAGAAGAATTGCAGTTCAGGGGCGCGTAACGCGGTAGGGCATGCCCAATATTTAATAATGTAAAAACACAGGGCATGTCAAGTATTTCTTTAGCGTAGAATCAGCCATCAATGAACTCCTTAATTTAATTACAATGATTTAGTTAGTGGTCATTTAGTTTTGGTATTTTAAAAAAAAAAAAAAAAAAAAAAAGAAGAAGTTTAGGTTTACGAAGAGGGGTAAGGCAGTCAAAAAATGTATTGTAGACAAATACTTCTTAAAGCTTTTTGTGATGTTAGAAACGTAAAGATTTTACACAATACATAAATACTTATTTTTAAAATTAGGATATTTTTTTTTTGTTTGAGTTTTTGCAAAAGGGGGCGTCCATCATTTACGTCTTCAACATAGGGGGGGGGGGGGTAGAAATGGATGGCCGTTGTTGACAAAGGGGGGGGGGGTTTAGA